TTGCGTGTTTTTTTTCCGTCGACGCCCGTCGGCGATTGTGTGTTGGTTAGTAAGTAGGAGGGAGCCAGGCCCCTGCTTTTGAAAGCATCGGCCTTGTTCAAGAAATGAACTCGCTCTTGACGTCAGGACTCCACTCGCTCTCGTGCACCTGATTGGCATAACCGCGCCGTGTGATAAAATATGCTTAGCAGCACCAACACCCCCACCACCTTCCGGTGTGTGCGGGCGCATGGGTGGGTGGGCGGCGGTAGGGAGAGGACGGAAAGTTTGTATCGTCTGGGAGGTACCATCTGGGGGGCAGATGGTTGGTCGTTTCGGCTTTGTTTTGTGGGTCAGTGTCCGTGATGGGGGGCGAAGTTGATTGTTGAGAGTGGTAGTTGGGCTTGGGGCTCCGTGGAGACCCCCAACGGCTTGCTGACTCCCCCGCACCCCCACACACACCCCCATCAGGCGGGGCCGCATATTTCTGTCGGAGGGTGCGAGCGGAGAGCAGCCCTCTCTGTCTCTTTACTAGGTCGTGGTGGTAGATCACGTGTGGTGTCCGTCCCCCGCCAGCCGCCGTGTCCGACCAAGTAAGACGGGCAGGCTGCGGGCGGGGAGAGGGTGGCGCAACAAAAAAGAGGGTCTCTTATATAATGGCGGGGACAAACAGTAGTCCACGTCCAAGCGTTATCATATCTCGGGTGGAACGTAACGCTTTCGGACTTCCCTTGCACATCGGAAGAGTGAAGCCCGTGCACATCGGGAGAGTGAAGGGCGTAGACGGGGGTTGCTGAGGTCTCGCTCATGTGAGAGAGGGCAGCGGGTACAGCAGTACGGGGAGAGTGTTGAGGCCGCGCGCCCTTGGGAAACAGAGAGACCTGGTTCACCACACGCCTTTGTTTTTTTTTTGCGAGCATCCCGTTGTGCCATGGTGAGAAGGTGTGCGGTGTTCGTTAAGATTTACGGTTCCCGTCAGGGAAAAGTTGGCGGTATGGGGGAAGGGAAGGGGGGGGGGGTTGCCACACAGGAACCGCGGAAAAGTTAATATTTAGCCGCTCGTATTTCTAGTTTTTGTTCCCGTAGATTAATAAATAATTAAATGTTTTTCTTGTTACTTGCGTGTATGACAAACTCTTTTGATGAGGGAGCTTGCATTTCTTCCGTTTTTTCGGGGTCGGACGTATACATTGCATGTTTTCCGGGCAAGGCAGCGCCGTTTTCCCCGGCGCCAATGCGCCAGTGAGTAACCAGCCCCCCTGGCGCCAGCAGTGTTGATTGATCGTCATCACGCGCGCCTTATGACGCAACCTAAACGTATACGTCGTAGATTTGCCCTGTTCTAGCTATGGCTCGCTCTCCTTGGGGGGGGGCGGGGGGGGGTATTGCCTTGCAATCTGTATTCAAGTTACTGTTTTTTCTGGGACTCAGGCCACGAGATTATGTAGGGAAAAACAGGGGGGCCTTTGCCCCCCCCCACACCAAAGTAGTAGTGTGCTGTCGCGCCTGTCTGTTTGATGTGCTGGAAGTTGCTTGTTTGCAGTTACATATGCATGTGATGCTGCTGCTTGGCGGCGTTGTTGGTGGGCGTGGTACCGTGAGGGGCTGGCCTGCACGTAAGAGACTTCGGTTTGTAGCGCGGGTCGTCGTCTGGCTGCACACGCCCGCCGTTCGGTACGGTTCTATTCCGTACGGTTTTCGTTTGGTCGGGGGCAAGGGAGGTCCCGGAAAAACGCGTTCGTGTGCACCCGCTGCTGATCTCCGACGAACGGTGCACGTCCGAGTCTCGACAGGTTTTGACGTCGAGTGATGGGTCTATTGTATGAAACTGAAGTACGTGTCGTTTTCATTGGGGGGGGGGG